AAATTTAATTTGGTATTCATAGGTGAAGTATAAATTTGTAATATTCAGACAAGCAGTAGCAGTGATTATTCTTGTCAAACGATTTATTTATTTGTGTTACATTTAAGTGTGTACATTATGGCCTATGGCCAATGGTACTGAATAAATATATATATATAGTCTTTTCACATCGCTATTGATGTTGCTTTCCATCAAGTCATTCGAGTTCACACTTGATTGTTACTTTAAAATCTCTTGAATTTTTTCGTCAAAAATAAAATATGAATATTCACTTGGTGCAAATTAAGATTAAAGAGAAGTGAAAAAGAACAAGGCATGTCATGAGACAACACAAGATCCAGTTCTGGAATGATGAATTGCTTTGAACGAATTTTCAGCACAAAAATACAATACCAAGCGAACTATTTAAACTGATACAAATAAAGAGTGTACACTCACAGTCTTTCTCATTGTCTTCCTTTTCATTTTCGTTTTCATTTAATTCATCGTCAATGACGACTTTCCTTTTGTCTTTCTTTTTCTTTTTCCCCTTCAATGATAAATCTAATTCGCCAAAATCATTTTCAACCACAGAGGAGACATTGTTTGCTTCATTTCCACTCTCCATATCATTGTCCATGTCTTTCAATACCTCCTGAAATTTCATGATAAAAAATGTAGTGAGCTTATACGAGATAGTTGTTTCCTTGCCAGTACAGCTTTACGTATATGTCGACTGACATTGCACACGGAAAAGTCATTTGAATATACATGACTGATGCAACATCACTAAGTTCTGATGCAACATCACTAAGTTCTGATGCAACATCAGGGATCTTGCCAGCCCAATGGGAGTGCTGGTCACTAATAATGAACATTAACCTTCTCACCACCACACCACATCACAAAATTATTCTACTGTGAAATACTTTATTTTAGCTGGAATTTATTTTTCGCTGAAAAGACATTTCGGGTGTTTTGTATGGAATTTATTTTCACTGTTTTTTGACAAGTTGAATGTAAAATATAGGAAAAAAGATATATTCACTGGATTTTATTTTCACTGAATCATTCCTTCAGCGAAAATAGCGAAAATTAATTCCAAGCAAAAATAAAGTATTTTACAGTCTGCTCATTTCATCAGAAGATTGGGGCAACGATATTCAAATTTTTTAAGTAAAAAACGAATATTGATTAAAATTTTGTCTGTTGGCTCCAAAATTGGGATTAATTTCCAGAAATATTGAAGGATTCAGGAAGTGCAGACAAATTTGGGCAAGAAGTCTGATGGTGAATATGTTAATAAGCCGATGAATATTACTGAACTGGATCACACAGGAAGTTTTTTATTCAAGTCAAAATATTATTTGTTTATTTTTCAGGTAAATGTATGAAAAAAAAGTAATTTCACAATAAGAATATTATTAGTGAAAGATTAAAGTATGTTTTTATTTAATAAATGTAGTATCATCAAATTTGTCTGCATAATATCAGTAAGCCAAGATATACAAGTACAGGTAATACTTCTAAGAGTACCGTTAAAGTCCTATTATAAACCGCGGTTTATATTACAATGTATCAATTT